GGTAAATAAAGGCATAGTGCTTCCATAACCAAGCATTATCGAATGCCTCACTGTCAAAACAGACAAGGCTTTTGTTTCCGAGCGTCCGTTCTTACACCTTTGCTATGTTTTTGATATCCATTTCTCGTGGTTCCAATTCAAATACGCTCATTTATATGCAAAATATTCTCGGATTTGTTTTATTGTATGTTTTTTATTAGTATATTCGTTTATTTGATCGCAGTGGCATGTTAAATGGAGGACACCCTTTACTAATCCGCTCTTGTTTGAATTATAAACAATTATTATTTTGATCAGATATTATATTCTTTTTAGAATAATATGTTACGTTACAATATGTAAGCAAATAAAATAATGGACGTACACACGTGTTTGCTCATACACTCGATTTCGATTTTTGTATTCACTTTTTAAAAAAAATATAACCCTATACCAAATCTAAAACATTCAATATACATTTCCACTTGTTCGACAAGCATTTAAGATAATTATTAAAACATACTTCTATTGATAAACTATTGTTTGTTTATTAATGTTAGTCATTTTACGCCCTCTATCGACGAAGTAATATTAATAGTGGAAGCAATGATGTTCAGTGACGACAATACTTCCTTGATACCATCATTGTGAGACATGAGTGAGCTAACACCTTTAGTCCTTCATTTTGAGACTTGAGTGAGCTAAGCCCTTTAGTCCTTCATTGTGAGACATTAGTGAGCTAACACCTTTAATCCTTCATTGTGAGACACGAGTGAGCTAGCACTTTTAGTCCTTCATTGTGAGACATGAGTGAGCTAACATATTTAGTCCTTCATTGTGAGACATGAGTGAGTTAGCATCTTTAGTCCTCCATTGTGAGACATTAGTGAGCTAACACATTTAGTCCTTCATTGTGAGACATGAGTGAGTTAGCATCTTTAGTCCTTCATTGTGAGACATGAGTGAGTTAGCATCTTTAGTCCTCCATTGTGAGACATTAGTGAGCTAACACCTTTAGTCCTTCATTATGAGACATGAGTGAGCTAACACATTTAGTCCTTCATTGTGAGACATGAGTAAGCTAGCACTTTTAGTCCTCCATTGTGAGACATGAGTGAGCTAAGACCTTTAGTCCTTCATTGTGAGACATGAGTGAGCTAACACCTTTAATCCTTCATTGTGAGACACGAGTGAGCTAGCACTTTTAGTCCTCCATTGTGAGACATGAGTGAGCTAACACCTTTAGTCCTTCATTGTGAGACATGAGTGAGCTAACACCTTTAATCCTTCATTGTGAGACACGAGCGAGCTGGCACTTTAGTCCTCCATTGTGAGACATGAGTGAGCTAACACCTTTAGTCCTTCATTGTAAGACATGAGTGAGCTAACACATTTAGTCCTTCATTATGCGACATTAGTGAGCTAGCATCTTTAGTCCTCCATTGCGAGACATTAGTGAGCTAACACGTTTAGTCCTTCATTATGAGACATTAGTGAGCTAACACATTTAGTCCTTCATTGTGAGACATGAGTGAGTTAGCATCTTTAGTCCTTCATTGTGAGACATGAGTGAGCTAACACCTTTAATCCTTCATTGTGAGACACGAGTGAGCTAGCACTTTTAGTCCTTCATTGTGAGACATGAGTGAGCTAACACCTTTAATCCTTCATTGTGAGACACGAGTGAGCTAGCACTTTCAGTCCTTCATTGTGAGACACGAATGAGCTAACATATTTAGTCCTTCATTGTGAGACATTAGTGAGCTAACACATTTAGTCCTCCATTGTGAGACATGAATGAGCTAACACCTTTAGTCCTTCATTATGAGACATGAGTGAGCTAACACCTTTAGTCCTTCATTGTGAGACATGAGTGAGCTAACACCTTTAATCCTTCATTGTTAGACACGAGCGAGCTAACACTTTTAGTCCTCCATTGTGAGACATGAGTGAGCTAGCATCTTCAGTCCTTCATTGTGAGACATGAGTGAGCTAGCATCTTCAGTCCTTCATTGTGAGACATGAGTGAGCTAACACCTTTAATCCTTCATTATGAGACATTAGTGAGCTAGCATCTTCAATCCTTCATTATGAGACATGAGTGAGCTAACACCTTAGTCCTTCATTGTGAGACATGAGTGAGCTAGCATCTTCAGTCCTTCATTGTGAAACATGAGTGAGCTAACACCTTTAATCCTTCATTGTGAGACATGAGTGAGCTAACACCTTTAATCCTTCATTGTGAGACATGAGTGAGCTAACACCTTTAATCCTTCATTGTGAGACATGAGTGAGCTAGCATCTTCAGTCCTTCATTGTGAGACATGAGTGAGCTAACACCTTTAATCCTTCATTATGAGACATGAGTGAGATAACATCTTTAATCCTTCATTGTGAGACATGAGTCCTTCATTATGTCGCTTAGCCTATAATATTGCCTTTAGACATGGTTATGTTGATTTTAAATGACAGCCAATATTTAATATTTCACCACATTTTTTATATTTTTTTGTTTTTTTTATTTGCACGTTTAGTATTTCTTTCGATGTCTGAGATACAGCCCATATCGTTTGACAGTATGATTGCCTTAGTTCTACACAGAATACTAGTATTGAATTACAGTTAATTTGTTTAACGCATTTTTTTTATACAAAATTGATTTTTTAGGGCAAGTACTAATACGCACGATCTTAAAATGTATGGATATCGCTTTTTCAACTTTAGTAATTTTGTTTTTGAACATTTGCTTCGGATTGTATTCTAAAATAAAGCTGATATGTTGCGTCACAAATTCCACACCGGTATTATTATTATTTATTATTGTACGGCCCGATGTTGTAAAAAGGAAGCGCCCGAGCTTGCGAGGGTATCGTATGACCGGAGAATAGACCTGTGGTGTTCTAAGGCAGGGTAAGGGAAGTCAATCTGTTAAAGTTAATCTGTTTACAATTTTATTTTAAGTTTATGATAATGTTAAGGCCAGAGTAATGGATGA